TTATAGACCAAGCTGACCTCAAACTCTGAGATCCTCCTGCCTCTGCATCCTGAGTGCTGGGATTAAAGATGTGCACCACCATATAGGGCTTTATGAAAGTCAGACTCTATGCATTGAATTTTGACATTACCTCTACAACTGTTTTCCCAGAGTTTGTGAGCACTCACAAATTCTCTTAATCTCAAACCCAGAAACCCAGTTCTTCCTTTTTACGCCCTATTCTGCAACTACCACAGAAAACAAAACAGGCCAGCAACTGCCATTTATACTTTCAAAAAATTCAAATTCAGATACTTATCACAAGAAGTTTAAAATTAAATGCCAGGGGGCTGGGAGTAATCCTAGCACTTAGGAAGCAGAGGCAGGAGGATTTCTGTGCATTTAAGGCCAGCCGGAACTACACAGAGAGACTCCGAATCTCAAAATACCAACAACTGCATCAGTAATAATAAAAAGTACGTCAAATTAAATGAAAGAAAGCTAGGTGTGGTAGCATCGTCTATAATCTTAGCACTCAGGAAACTGAAGCCTGAATCAGGCAAGGGGAGGTTCTAGGTCACCCTGAAGATACATATCAGGGCCCCATCTATCTCCAAAAAATAAAGTATGAACCACGAGTTACTAAGGTTTCTATTTCTACCTTATTCTTATTTTGTCTCTTTAAAATGTAACTGATATTATAAGGCTTTAAAAAATGGGATGGTCTCACTGTTGCTGGGCTATTCTTAAAATCCCAAGCTCAAGAGATCTTTCTACAAAAATCAATTAAAAACAAAAACAAACAAAAAACCCTGAACCAGATCCTTCTGCTTAAGCCTCCAGAGTAGCTGGCAGGATATAAATGTGCCAGTTTAAGCTACACAGCAAACCTTGCCACAAAACGCAAAATAAAAAATTAGAGCCAGGTGGTGAAATCATGAAAAATTAGAAATAACCACTGCAGCCAGGCAGTGGTGGAGCACGCCTTTAATCCCAGCACTCAGGAGGCAGGGGCAGGTGGATCTCTATGAGTTCAAGGTCAGCCTAGTCTATAAAACAAGTTCCAAAACAGTCAGGGCTACACAGAGAAACCCTGTCTCGAAAAACCAAACAACAATAATAATAATAATATAATGAAATAATTAAAAATATAATTGAATATGAATCTTTGAACCAAGCAAGGAGTTCAAATCTGTACAGATAAAAAGGTTATCAAACAAAAATTACATTTTGAAAGACTTTTTTGGACATAGGAATCACAACAAAATCCTGAGTAATAAAGTACTGAATAACTGGGCCCTTAGTTTTCTGTCTTACCTCAAACTTCACAAATTTTCTAGAACATGCTCTTTTAATTTAAAATAGCCAAAACACCCTTTTTATGTTTTGAATTAAATAGAATAAACATGTCTTTGTGAAAAAGAAAATAAACATGGAGGCACTAAGAGTCATAACCCCAAAACATAGTGGAAATAAAGACAAGACCATCCTCCCCCCCAAAACTAAACAATTCAGGATATTTTCCTCTGTATATAATTATTTAACTTCAGTACTAATTTCTCATTTTCTAACACTGTTTGTCTCCTTGAATCGACAATGACCTTATAGACAATGCTAAAAGGTTACATAATACTATTAACAGATTACCCCAGAGATAAAATTTAAGAATTGACAGCTTATCATAATCTTACTGCCTCAAAATAACAAGAGCACTTTACCATATTCAACTTTTAGTACTTTTTTTTTTTGAGATGAGAGGTCTCAATATGCAGCCTAAGCTGCTACAAATGTAACTCTCACTGTTACATTTAGAGTCTCCAGTCATTAAATACAGGATACATTAAAAGTTAAGGGGAACATTTACGTTAAAACTCTAAGTGCTACACTAAATTAACTGGCAAATTAATTATAATGCTAGTCCACGGAAATATCTGACTAACCTTTAGCCAACATTATTTTGTTACCTTAGTTGGCCTCACTGAATAAAAGCAATAAAATTACAGGTGCTCTAGACTAGAATGTAGAGCCCAGTTCGAAGTCTGCTAAAAATAAACAGTTTAACTCTGAGCAATTCATTTTTTTCATCTTTGGATCCTCATCAACCTATCTGTAAACAAGAGAACACTGTGGGTGTGTTCAGCTTCCTTTTTTTTTTCTTAGTTCTAGGGACTGACTACAGCACCTAGTGAATATTATGTAAACATTCTATACTGAATTACAACCCTTAATTAAACCCTTTGAAGCTTTTATCCCAACCCAAAACATTTACTATTTTTACAACTGTATAAAGTGCATGAGGATTGGTAAAGATGGCACAAAAAGCAAACACCAAATGATGCCATGCAATATAAAAATTTTATTGATTGTGATTCTGTTTGTCCAGATGTATCCCAAGCTGGCTTTGAACTCTTGATCCTCTTCCTACCAAATGTAGAGATTATAAGTGTGTGCCCCGACTCTGATGGTTTATCATTTTATGTGTATGGGTGTTTTGCATGCAGTGCCCATACAGGCCAAAAGGGGACGTTGAATCCTGTGCGACTGGAATTACAAGTGGCTGTGAGATACCATGTTGAGTGCTGGAAATAGAACCCAGGTCCTCTGGAAGAACAGTCAGGGAGCTTAAACACTGAGCCATCTCTCCAATCCAACTTGTTTTTGAAGCAGGGTATAAATACATAGCCCAGGCTGAACTTGAATTTGCAGTTCTGCATTGACTCCAGTGCTGGGATTAAGCCACCAAGTCTGCCTTTCTTTCCCTTTCTTCTATTGGTATATATTCATTGTCCAAAACAATGGCTAATGTTATATTTTCACCAATTATATAATAATGTACTCTGGTCAACTTTTAACCTTTTCTTGTTTTTTTCTTTTGGTTTTTCAAGACAGGGTTTCTCTGTGTAGCTCTGCGCCACCACCACCCTGCTTAACCTTTTCTTTGAGATGTTCAAAAATCAAACCGCCAGTGGTGGTGGCGCACGCCTTTAATCCCAGCACTCGGGAGGCAGAGTCAGGCAGATCTCTGTGAGTTTGAGGCCAGCCTGGTCTACAGAGCGAGATCCAGGACAGGCACCAAAACTACAGAGAAATCCTGTCTCGAAAAACAAAAATAATAAAATCAAACCAAACCCAGAGCCCTGTACATGGTAAGCAAGCATTCACTGTACCACACTGAGCTACATATCCCAATGTAATCTTTACATTCTTAATCTTTTTAAAAATAATTGTAATCCAGAAAGACCCTGTGATTCAGATTTATCTACATGTCAAATTTGATATCTGAATTCTATAGTTTGCTACGCTATTTGATAATCAGGAAGCTTACCATATTTCCTAAAAATAGAGACTAACCTTTTTACCATTCCACATGAATAGGGGGAACAATAAGTGAAAACCAAAAGAGAAACACAAATATCCAAATAATCAAGCCTGTCTGTTAAGACAACATAAGCCACATGGGATTTTACAGTATAAATCATTGATACATAAATAGATATGGTAATAAATATCAACTCCAAATATTTATGTTGACATGCATCTATGTGTGCTTTAAAAACTTTTTAGTAATAAAATCAAAACTTGTTTATAGTAAAACATTCAAACATACATTTAAGGCACAGGAGAAAAGCAAAGTGAAGTTTTCCATCCCTCTTCTTCAGAAGTGACCAGCGTTACTCATTTTCCTGTATAGCTTTCAAGGATCCATGTGACCCAATCCAAGTAGACATAAACTTATGTTTTTGTGTCTGTAGGTATAAATCTGTCTCACCTAAGATGCTTTCCAATTTTTAAGTAATGGAGGAAAACAAACCAGGCACAATCTTTACATACATGTTCAGTACATACATGTTCAGTACACTGAAAACGGTACAGACACCAGCACAAAGTAGTAGTATGCTGTACAGAAATGTTAAACAGAATATCCTTAGATTTTGTGCTTAGAGGTTAGAGGAAGCATCAGGAGAGGTGGTCAGGGAGCCACAGAATCTGAGTTCTCATCTAACTAGCCATGTAACCTTAGGCAAGTCATGAAATCTTGAGCCTCAGTTTCTGCTTTGTAAAACCAAAGGATTGGGGTAAATCCTTCCCAACTCTAAAACGGTATAATTAATTCTAAGATGGCCGGCTCTTAACAGTGTTCTCTTGAACTGGCTACAAAAAAAAAAAAAAAAGTATTCAGGAGAAAATGAGAAGAGCGAAGAAATACTACAGTAATCTCCACTCTTACTAGAGTAAATTTCTATGACTCGTTCATTATCAAGGTATAGCTGTGATGACTGAGTAGTGACATAATTGTACTTGAAGGCAAAGTAGTAGATTATTAAAATCTAATGGGTTGGTTTTTCCCAAAGTTTCCACTAAAACATTTTTCTTTTTGGAGATGGAGAGGGCCACTGCTTAGTTCCAGCAATCACTACTCCCCTCCCTTCAAAGAATAACACCCCTACAATTCAACTGTGGAGTTAAAAATACTGAAACCGAAAGTCAACTTGACATTTTTCTTTCAGAAATAATGCTGGGGAAGTGACCAAAGGTGGCAAGAATGACCGGCTATTTCCTCCTCTGGAAGCTCTTGGGCCCTCAGGCTTTTGGTTTCGCGCACCCTTGCCAGAAACCTACTATCCCTGCCCCATACACGCCACAGGCATCAGATGGGGGGGGAGGTTGATCCTATCTTTTTTTAATTATTTAACTAGATTTACCTTAGGTGTCACGAAGTTTAAGGAGGCTGACCCGAAGGCTTGAAGCCAGCCACCCTACACCGGGCTTCCAGGGGCAATCCCGGGAACCTTGGACAAGGAGCCCAGTCCAGCATTCCCCGCGGGCGGGCGGGCGCGGCCTTCCCGCCCAACTAGGCAGAGCTAGCCCAAGCGGAAGGGAGGGGGGAAGAGGAGAGCGGGGAGGAGAAGGGAGGAGGGGGGAGGAGGGAGGAGAAGGGAAGAGGGGGGGAAGGGAGGAGGGAGGGGAGGGGAGGGAAGAGGAGGAGGGGAGGGCGGGAAACCCACAAGAGCTGTACCCACCGCGCCAAGTAAGCCTGTCCAAACCGCCGTGGGCGACCGTTCCCGAGGGGAGGGTCCCGGAGGAGGGGCAGCCCGCGCCGGATCAGGAAAACACAGCTCGGCGGGGCGGCGGGCCGCGGCCTAGGAGAAGGAAACGGAAGTCACTCTGTCTCCCTCCCTCGACCGAGGCCGGACCTCGGCCCCCTCGGAGAGAACTCGGAGACCGGAACCGAGGGCGTCCACGTCAGGGCTAAAAAAAAAAAAAAAAAAAAAAAAAAAGCCACTGGGTGCTGTCCGCCAGCTTCCCCGGCCAGCCCAGCCATTGGCCTTAGGCCATGGCCTCCCCACCTCCCCCCGGGGAGCTCGGCTCCCGCCCGACAGAGCCCCTCCTTCTTTCCCGCTCCGCCATCTTCCGACCTACCGCCCGGGCCCGGGTGGCCCTCGATTAGCGTCGCGCCTGCTCGGGGGAGCACCCACGTCCCGCCGCTTCCCGGAGCCGGAAGGGGGCATCCAGAAAAAACCCGGTCCTCCTCATTATGCAGCCCGACCTCCCCCCCCTCCCCAGCTCCAAGCCAGAGCCTGACCCAGCGACTGCACATGCGCACAGGTCACCTCGCAGTCCCCGCCCAGCCCAAGCGTTTCCTCTTAGCAGCCAGGACTTTTTTTTTTTTTTCCCCATGGCCTTAACCTAGACTTTAGGGTGAGGAGTAGGGGAATACACGTCAGAGGATTAAAAACAGAGGGAGAAGGGTCAGAACATACTGGGTTCTTACTGGCTATCAAGGACTAGGTGTATAACGTACTCTTAGTTATTTTGAAAACCCTGAAAGGCAGGACACCCCTATTAAACTCCTTCTCCGGGGGAAACTGAGACCCGGAGAAGTTAATTATCCCAGTGTCACCCACCGGAAAAAAAGAGAACTCAGATTAGAACCCGCTGTTTCCAAAGAGAGAAAGATGAAAGGAATGACAGGAAAGGGCGACAAAGAGAGTGAGAGATGTTTGATTTGTGAAGAGACAAAAAAAAAATAGAGCGAAGATGGAAAAGAAACACAAAAAGTCTTTGTACACAAGATGATGATCATGCCCCTAGGTTACTCAGATATGCTTGTATGGTTGTCACATAAATGTGGATTTAGGTTCCAGGAATTTGGGCTCTTAGTGGTTAGTGTAGTAAGATAGATTCTGGATATCATTTCAAAGGAATTATGAGTACCATCTGCCTGGTTAAATAATGCTGCCCTTGATGAAAAGGAACTTGGAAAAGAAGAAAAATATTTTTGCTTCTTAAACTTTTGCTAATATAATATCCCTTCTGATGCCATCTTTTTTTTTTTTAATTTTAAATTATTACATTGATTTAGTGTGTGAAGTCAGAGGACAACTTGGGGAGTCCATTCTCTCCCAGCATGTGGGTTCCAGGGATGAATTCAGATCCTCAAGCTTGATGGCAAAACCTTTCTCCCCAGAGTCACCTGTGTCCGAGGCCCTGGTGTGCTTGGAGCCCCGAGAATTAGACCTGACCTATTGCAATAATAGTAATTGCAAGCAAAGCCTGGGGATGTAACACATTGGTGGAGCACTTGTCTAGCATGTGCAAGGTCTGGGACTCAAACCTCATCACTGCCAACAAAAGAAAACAGCAAGAAAATATTTCTCCCATTTCTCAGAGCACTCTTAAATATATAAATCAGTACCCCCACCCCCTTTTTTTTTCTTTAGATAGGAGTCTTTTTTTTTTTTTTTTTTTTTTTTTTTTTTTTTTTTTTTTTTTTTTTTTTT